GACATTTTTCAGAATCCGACAAAAATTTCACTGGTGTTCTTCAATTTTTAGAGAGAAGAGAGAAAAAAAGAAGAGAGAGAGAGGAGGAGCGTTCTGTCAAAAAATAAAGGGAACTGTCTTTTATACTTTCCCAAAATGACGTCGTTTTGGCTTTAAGTTAATCAGAGGATTCGCGCATTTTACCGAAATTCGACCCGACCCGAACGTCGATCCGCTTCCTGACCCGCGCGTGTCAGCCCCCTTTCGAGTCGAGCCAAGCTGCCAAGTCACTCTTTCGAGCTGTTTCCTTACCTTGAGTCGAGTCAAGCCGATAGTCGAGTCGTTTCAGGTTTTTTTTTTAAATTTATTTATTTATTTATTTATTTATTAGATTAGGTTTATTTTAATATTCTTTTATCTTTATTTTATTTTTTATTTTTTTTATTTTTTTATTTTCATTTAAATAAAAATCAAAATTTCAAAAAAAAATATTTTTAGGAAAGTTGAAAGTATCAATTTTCTTTAAAAATAAATTTTCAAAAAATATTTTTGAAGAAAAATTGAAAGTATCAATTTTTCCTACACAAGAACAATCATTTTTTTCTTCCTTTTTATTTTGATTTTGATTTTTCTTTAAATAATCCGACGACGGAGCCTCTGCAAGTGAAACAGTAATTTATCTTGCATACTTTTGAGGTGAGAATTTTTTCAATTTTTTGCTAAAAGTATTAGAGTCAATTGAGAATAATTTTTAATAATTAATTACTTGGTAAAATTTTAAGGTTTATTGGATAACATAATTATGCTGAAATCATCTTTTGATGGGCGTTGTGAGGGTGCTATAACCTTCTTCACACGTAATCGAACTCCCGAATCCTGTTCTGGTTAACAGACATGAACTTATTCTTTTAGAGAGCTTTAAACTTAGGTGTTCCCTGAAATGACAGATTCTTTAGGTGACCAATCGCACCTAGATAAAAAAAGATTGGTGGCGACTCTCTTAAATCAATGTCTAACGATAGATCCTCAGATCTAGACGTTATGACAGCTTGACGACTCCACTGGGGACTTTAAGAGTCAAGCCAGCAAATAATTTGTGTTATCCAAAAAGCCTAATAAAATTGAATCTTGTTGTATATATGTGTTATTATTTATTCATATTTATTTACTTTGTTAATTATATCATTCATGTGCATATGCATAACATGAGCTCTACACCCGAGCTTCGTCCCTCTAGGAGGGAGTAAAGTACCTATTGCTTTCGTGAGGTTTAATGCCTCCGTAGTGGCTAGCGAAATACTCTCACTCAAATTGAATCTTTTTCGCTTGTAGCGTATAATGGGTGAGGATTATGGTGCCTTACTAGTCTGTGATGGACAAGAATGTAAGAAACAATTTGAGGGCCTTTAGACTTTGACCCTAAAATCACATGTAGTGAACTTTAAGAGTGCTTACACTTAAGATAAAGTCTTTTCTACCTAATGATAGATATACCCTGAAATTAAGACACAAAAAGGGTGTTTGTTTAATCATTTTGATTGTTTAACTTTGTGTATTATTTTTATCATATGTAACATTATGCACCAGCATCACTTTCATTTCATCCATGGAACTAACTATGTTTGTCTGATTGTATGCATCTGCATTATTTTCATGATCATGTTTTAACACAATCATTTGCATTCATTTCATACTAGATTTTTTTTAGAAAAATATACATTTCATTTGTGTATCAAAGCATCATACATAAGCACAGCATAACATTTCTAATTATAAGTATGGTACTCAAGGGCCGAGGATAGCTTCATCTAGCGAAAATCTTGTTCATCCATATAACACAAGATCCAGAGCAAGGCAAATGGAAGAAGAAAGTTCTCATAGATTTGAAAAGTTAGAAAAAGCTCAGGAGAAGATTGAAAGTGAACTAAGCAAGATTCTGGAGGTCTTTAATAACATGAATAAAGGAAAATGAGTTAAAGGAAGTACAAGCCAGCAAGAAGTGGTTGACTTTTTGTACCCTTCAGATTTTGGCCCATCTCAAGTTCAGTCTGTTCAAGAGGTCCCACCACAACATTTTGCATATCCAACAGAGCAAGGCAAATGGAAGAAGAAAGTTCTCATAGATTTGAAAAGTTAGAAAAAGCTCAGGAGAAGATTGAAAGTGAACTAAGCAAGATTCTGGAGGTCTTTAATAACATGAATAAAGGAAAATGAGTTGAAGGAAGTACAAGCCAGCAAGAAGTGGTTGACTTTTTGTACCCTTCAGATTTTGGCCCATCTCAAGTTCAGTCTGTTCAAGAGGTCCCACCACAATATTTTGCATATCCAACATGTCCTGGAATGCCATCAGCTTTCAACTCAGGGCAGTATAATAGCTATATAAATTTTATCTTCACTGAAAAGACAGCAGAATCAATTCCTGATCTAGATGATGTAAAAGAGAAGGAGAAGAAAAAAATATGGGTGAAAGCTGAGGAAAGCTCTAAAATTAGCATGTTAGAGCAGAGGTTACGGGTTGTGGAAGGATTTAGCTTTTATGGGTCAGTTGATGCTGCTGCGCTCTACCTAGTTCCTGATGTGGTTATCCTTCATAAGTTTAAAGTATCAAAATTTGAAAAATATGACGGTATAAAATGTCTAAAACTCACATCACCATGTATTGCAGGAAGATGGCAGCTCATACTCATGATGAAAAACTCTTGATGCATGTTTTTCAAGATAACCTTACTGACTCTGCGGTCAGGTGATATGTTCAGTTGAATAGGACCCACATTCGCTTTTGGAGCGATATGGCTCATGATTTCATCAGTCAATATCGACACGTTATCGATTTGGCTCCTGATCGTTTGTTTTTACAGAATTTAGAAAAAAAAGTAAATGAGTCTTTTAAAGAATACGCCTAGAGATGGAGAGATATAGCTTCACAGGTACAACCTCCACTGACAGAAAAAGAGACCACAGTGCTGTTTGTCAGAACTTTGAAACCTCTTTATTATGAAAAAATGATAGGGAATACAACAAAAAATTTTACTGATATGGTGATTTCTAGAGAAATTATTGAAAGTGTCATAAAAAATGATAAGTTGAAAGGAAGAGAAACCAAGAAGGCATCAAAAAAGAAAAAAGTTCAAGCTCAAGCTGTGAGTTTTGATAGACAACAATTCAGGGGTTATCAATCCTATCCATCCCAAGGTTACTCTTCATACTATCCTGCTGTGAATAATGCCTCATTCTACCCATACCAGTTAGCTTCACAATCATCTTATTTTAGCCCTCAGGGGAATACAACAATTCCGCGCGTTTTACTGAAATCCGACCTGACCCGAACGTCGACCCGTTTCCTGACCCACGCGTGCCAGCCTCCCACCGAGTCGAGCCGAGCCAAGCTGCCAAGCCGCTCCCCCGAGCCGTTTCCCTACCTTGAGCCGAGCCGATAGCCGAGCCACTTCAGGTTTTTTTTTTAATTAATTAATTTATTTATTTATTAGATTAGGTTTATTTAATATTTTTTTTATCTTTATTTTATTTTTTATTTTTTTACTTTTTTTTAATTTTTTATTTTTTTATTTTATTTTCTTTAAATAAAAATAAAAAATTTCAAAAAAAATATTTTTAGGGAAAAGTTGAAAGTATCAATTTTTCTTAAAAATAAAAAAAAAAAGATTTTTGAGAAAAAGTTGAAAGTATCAATTTTCCTTGAAAATCGAAATTTCCAAAAAATATTTTTAGGGAAAAGTTGAAAGTATCAATTTTTCTTAAAAGTAAATTTTCAAAAAAAAAATATTTTTGAGGAAAAGTTGAAAGTATCAATTTTTCTTAAAAATAAATTTTCAAAAAATATTTTTGAGAAAAAATTGAAAGTATCAATTTTTCTTACACAAGAACAATCATTCTTTCTTTCCTTTTTATTTTGATTTTGATTTTGATTTTTCTTTAAATAATCCGACGACGGAGTCTCTGCAAGTGAAACAATAGTTTTTCTTGCATACTCTTGAGGTGAGGGAATTTTTTCAATTTTCTGCTAAAAGTATTAGAGTCAATTGAGAATAATTTCTAATAATTAATTACTTGGTAAAATTTTAAGGCTTATTGGATAACACAAAATTATGTTGGAATCATCTTTTGATGGGCGTTGTGAGGGTGCTATAACATTCCTCACACGTAACCGAACTCCCGAACTCTGTTCTGGTTAACAGATCTGAACCTATTCTTTTAGGGACCCTTAAACTTAAGTGTTCCCTGAAAGGACAGATTCTTTAGGTGACCAATCGTACCTAGATAAAAAAAGATTGGTGGCGACTCCTTTAAGTCAATGTCTAGCGATAGATCCCCAGATCTAGACGTTATGACAATAATTTAATATTTGTTAATAAATTATAAATCTTTATGTGGAATGTTGATCTTAAGCAACATAAAATTAATTGCTTGAATTGCAAGAAGCTGCACAAACAATGATAGCCAAAAGACTATTTGATGACAGGCTTATTCTGAGCAATTAGGGGATAAAACAGAAAGATATTGTTGATGTAGTGGTTAGACAATTTTCAATGGCTAAGATCAAATGGGCGAGGCAGCACAATATCAAAACATCAAACTCTTATCCCAACTGAAATCTAAATATAACATAGGCAGATTACATTTCAAGCTAATTAAACAAATTCTAGCTAGCAATGGATTTAGTTATTTTGGTTAAGGTCCAAACCAGAGGCGATCCACATATAAGCAGCTATAGACATTTCAAAGATCGAAAAACAAAAAAATTTTAATGAAAATTTTTCTCAAACACTTCCAAGATTTTCTCCTATATCTTTTCCATAGATAAAATTGATAAATCCATAAATAGTTTTTAATATATATTATATAAGTGGACACTTTCGAAAAAATCCTGGATCCACCTCTATTCTTGACTACCAACTCATTGAACAGTCTCACCTTTTAGTTGCATGGTAGACATTTTACAATTTGGAATGCGTTCTCAATAAATTGACTGTTCATTCTTATACTGTTCTTCTTTTGTATAGATGGGAATGGCAACTGCCCTGGATACCCTTTGTGGACAGTCGTATGGGGCGAAGCAGTATTCTGTGATGGGCATACACATGCAAAGAGCCATGTTTATCCTTATGCTTGTGAGCATACCCCTTGCTATTATATGGTTGAACACAAGACGTATTCTAGTTCTTCTAGGTCAAGATCATGACATATCGAAGGAAGCAGGAGAGTATGCTTGTTTCATGGTTCCGAGCCTATTTGCATATGGTCTTCTTCAATGTCTAGTCAAATTCTTGCAAACTCAAAACATTGTATTTCCAATGATGATAAGCTCTGGAATTACAACTTTACTGCACATTCTTGTCTGTTGGGTCATGGTTTTCAAATCTGGCCTTGGATTTAAAGGAGCTGCCTTGGCTAATTCAATCTCTAATTGGATAAATGTGTTATTGTTGGTGTTTTATGTTAAGTTCTCTCCTTCATGTGCAAAGACTTGGGCAGGATTTTCAAAGGTGGCCTTTCACAATATTTTCACTTTTCTCCGACTTGCCATTCCTTCGGCTATTATGGTCTGGTAATTGCTCAACTTGCTGTCTTTTTCCTCTTTAAAGACTACCTTGCTATGAATGCAATCACAAAGAAGTTCACTTTTAATCACCTAGAAAGTAGACATGGAATCAATTTGCTTGTACTTTGCCATGACTCTGAACAGCTTGGAGATGTGGTCTTTTGAAATGATGGTTCTGCTATCAGGTCTTCTTCCTAATCCAACGTTACAAACTTCAGTGCTCTCTATTTGGTTAGTTTTGATCTTCAAATAGCTATTTTGGCGAACAACTTGAACATTTTAGATGATTAGTGTGTTTATTTTCAATGTAAAATCTAACCTTAACAAATACTTAAATTTCCAGCCTTACCACTGCTTCTACGGTTTGGATGATACCCTTTGGACTCAGTGGTGCAATAAGGTGAGGAATGCTAATAACAAATTTTCATGGGAACCAACAACGTTCAGGAACTAAATTTATCTTTCATGTATTCACTAATCTTTTCTTAATTTGATCAATGTTTTGCACAGCACTCGGGTCTCAAATGAATTAGGAGCTGGGAATCCAGAAGCCGCACGTTTAGCTGTATATGTTGTTGTAGTCATGGCCATTTTTGAGGCCCTTTTGGTGGGATCAATCTTGATACTGATTCGCAACATTTGGGGCTATGCTTATAGCAGTGAAGTAGAAGTTGTTAAATATGTAGCATCCATGATGCCATTTGTAGCAGCTTCAAACTTTTTAGATAACCTTCAATGTGTTCTCTCAGGTTTTCCCCGTTTCTCACAATCACTTGGAATTTTTTAGTTTTTGGCACGTGATTCTTAGTTTGAGTAAGCATGGTTCAAATCCCGGAAGCCTCAAGTACCAAAAAAAGTATATCCCTTTGATATGCTCATTCATGTTCGTACTACTGATCAGAAAGAATAATCTGTTTCAAAACTTCCATTCCTTATCTTCAATTCCATCCTTCATTTCAGTCATCAAGCAATTGCTTTTTATGCTTGGAATGACAGATTCATGAAACATGTAACTCTGACTCCTGACTAGTGAGGACACTAGTGTTCTCCAGGATATGATTTCCTGTTAAGTCAGAACATGAATATAGAATAGCTAACTTACAGCATTCTCTCTATATATTTCCATTTGTTCTTTAACTGATGTTGACTCTCCAAATCTTCAGCTTATCAGTTAGAATTTATCTGATATCTCAGGCACCGCAAGAGGATGTGGATGGCAGAAGATTGGAGCATATGTCAATCTTGGATCTTATTATTTAGTTGGGATTCCATGTGCTATTGTGTTAGCTTTCGTACTCGATGTTGGTGGAAAGGTAAAAATCACCATTTCTTTTTGTCTTTTCTGCTTTCAAATGTTTTGCTACATTTATTTGGGTAGTTTTAGTGAAGTAATTCTTGTTTTAATATAATCTCTTGTTTTTAACTACAATATACATTGTCTGGTCATTAGGGGCTGTGGCTGGGAATCATATGTGCACTTGCTGTTCAAGTAACTTGTTTAAGTACTATTACCATTCGAACTAACTGGGAGCAAGAGGTAAGATAGTACCGTTCTTGTCTGAACAATTTAGCCATTTCTTATAATTTTTGAAACATTGGTTTAATTTTCACCACGTTTGGTCAGGCAAGAAAAGCTACGGAGAGGGTTTATGATTATGCCATGCCGGTGGAAGTTTGATTTTTTATCATCTCTTTAGAAGGATAAACTTAAAATTTCACCTATGAAGTTACTGGAGCCATTCTACTTAGTTGTGTTTGAACATTGAATCTATTTCAGGAATGTCAGAAAGTTGCATGGAATGAGTTTTTAAACTTCAAAACAGATAGTAGTCAATTTCTTGAAGCAATGATTGAAGGCAAATTCAGCTATGAAAATTTTCAAACAGAGGAAGTTGCAGGCAGTGTTTAAGGAGAAGAACCCAAATCCCATTAATATATATAAAGGTTTCTCTTTTTTATTCATTTGCGTGGTTGAAATGAAAGAGTTTAATCCTTACCTAGCGCAACACAACTCAAAACTTTGCCTCCATCTTTCAACGCCTTAAGGTGTTTTGGGGGCATAAAAAAGGAGGTTGTTTTTTTTTTTTTTACTTTTTTGCTTAATTTTTATATCTGTGTCCAATTTTCAAAAAGTAAAAACCAATTTGTAGAGGAGTAAATGCTACTCTATACCACTTTTTGACTGTTCCAACAATCTAACCATTCATACTAATAATTTTGATCAGATCAAAACTTTACCTTTTTAAGGTGTCCACGTGTTACAATCTCCACGTCCTCAACTTTATTTTTTTTTTGTTTTTTATTTTTTGACCAATAAAAATTACAAAATAAGATATTAAAATAAAATTATTTATTAATTAATAGTATGACAAAAAATTAATAAAAATGTGATTTTTAATTAATGAAAAAATAACTACTTTGTGCGTCAATATTTAATTTAATATAAAATTATAATATGTACCAAAAAACTCTTTGTACATATTTTTTATTTCTATTAAAAATTGCAAAAGTGTAAACTAATAAATATTTTATGCAAAATTTATTTTCTTTTGTAATTAGTCAAATAAATTTTTTTAGTAAATAGTAATAAATTTTTTAAATAATTTGGAAAATATTAGTGAAATATAATTTTTTTAATAATTAGTGATAGTATAAACTTCTTTTTTACAAAATTTTCATATAAATAATTCTATTTCACTAATTATTAAAAAATTCGATTTCATTAATTATTTAATGTCATGACATTAATTACTAAATATTCATGACAAATATCTTATTTTATAATTTTCCTTTTAATTAAAAAAAAAAGTTGTAAGTAAGTTTTGTCTCGCTCAACCTTTATCTTTATCTTTTTCTTTCCTTTCTCCTTCTATTTTTGTTTACTTGCATTTTTAAAATCCATTATATTAATTTTGATAACTTTAATTTTCATCAGCTCCTTCATTTTTCCTTTTTTTTTCTTTTCATATTCTTTTAATTTCTTATTCACTTTTCTTTTATTTTTTATATTTGACAAATTAATTTTTATATTTTGTAATTTTTGTGAGACTTGCCAATTTCTATATTTTTCTTTTTCTTTTTTATTATTTTATTATTTACTTTTTTCTTTTAATAGTTAACAAATTTTTTTATAATTTATATTTTTTATGTAGATCTCTTTTGATATTATTGATGAAAAATATTTTTACTTTTTTTATCATTTTTTAATTATATAATTTTGTTAAAAAATGATACTAATAACAGTGTTGACGTGGCATGTGAATTTGTTTTTTTCTTTTTATATTGGGATCAAATTGGGATGAGTCAAATATTTTTAAAAGAAATAAAATTAGATCAAAAGTGTTTTTAGAGTGTTTTATCCAACGTATTTTGATATATATATATAAAATATATTTTTTATTATTAATTAATTTTATATTTATGCATAATATATTAATAAAATTATTATTTGATATATTAATTTAAAATTTTAATATTTTAAAATTAAAAAGAGCGTTTACATGGCATCCTTTATGAGTTTTTTTTTTATTTTTTTTATTTTTTATTAAATAAATTTTGTGGGAAAATGAGAAATAAATTTTGTAAGAAAATGAGAGAAATGGATGTGTTTACATATCACCTTCAATTTTTTTTACCTTTCGCTTTTTTATTTTTTAATTAAATAAAATTTTGTCAAAAAAAAATCGGTTAATAAAAATGGAAAAACAAAAAAAAATTTTGACCAGCTAAAATTCGCGGGTATCCATCTAGTACTATTACTTTTGCTCATTTTGACCAATAGTTTGACTTTCCCAATGGGGTGCCACGTGATGCTCCCTTATCCTTTTTTTGTGTTTTTATTTTTCTTTATCTTTTAATATTTTTAGATTTTTTAAATATTTAATATTTTTAAAAAAAATTTTAAAGGTAATGCCTACTTCACATCAAGTTTTTTCCTTTTTTTTTTTGGCTTTTTATCATTTTTTGTTTTATTTCAAAATTTTTAATTAAATTTTTAAAGATTTTTTTATAAGATTCATTGAAGTCAAATTACATATTTAGTTTTTTTCCTTTTTTGTATTATTAACCTTTTTTATATATATAAAAAATATTTTTAAAGATTTTAAACTTTTGTCTAACCCATTTGATACTGAGAATGTTCGAGTCATTTATTTTTTTTTTTTAATTTTTATTAATATTTTTTTAAAGATTTTAATTTTGGTGTGAGACGCACTTGATATCAAGTGCACATCGTGTGCTTATTTTTATTTTTCTTTATTATTTTCTTTTTGTATGTATCGAATAAATATTCTTTAAGATTTTAAATTTTTTTTATCTCACCCACTTAATACAAAAGGTATGTCATGTATTAAGTCATTTACTTGTTTCTTTTTTTCTACTTTTTGTAAATTTTTTCTATTTACTTTTTCTTTTTCCCTTTTAAAATATTTAATAATTTTTTTACATTTTAATATTTTTTAATGTAAGATCTATTTGATATTGTTGATTAAAATTTTTTTTTCATTTTAATTTGATAATTTTTAAGAAAAGGATATTACAATGTGTGGATATCACATTTGAATTTGATACTTGTTTCCTTTTTTCAATTTTTTTTTATTTTTTAATTTTTGCTTCTTTAAGATCCATGATTAAATTTTGCAAAATTAAAAACTCATCATTTAGAAAATAAATTATATTAATAAAATTATTAATTAATATCTTAATTTAATATATCCACATGCCATTCTCATTTGGCTTCATTTTCTTCTAGTTTTCTCTTCATTTCCTTTGTTTTTTTCTTTTAATTTTTTTTAATTAAATAAATTTATTAAAAAAAAGTTAATAGATATAAGGATTATAAAATAACTTATATCTTACGGATTTCGATTTGTCATGTTTCAATATGTGTAAAATTTTAAAATTTTCAAGATCAAGTTAAAGATTTTTCTTTTTTAAAATCAAAGTCCGATCGAAGACGAGCTTAGAGTTTTTCATCTTATCTTGAGTATATATATACCTATTTTTAATTATTTATTTCATTTTATAGTTATATAAATATATTATATTAATTAAGTTATTATTTAATATTTTAATTTAATAAAATACTATATTTATAAATATTTTAGATTTATTTTATCCATCCATTATATAAATTTTATTTGTTTTTACTTTTGTTTCATCTTCGTTTAAGACGTCAACATGACACTTTTTGTTTCTTTCCCTTCTTTTTTCTTTCCTTTATTTTTCAACTCTTTTTATAAGAGAAAAATATTAATGAAAGTGCCTATGTTGCACCCAATTTTTTATTTCCTTTCATACTTATTTAAATTTTTGTTTTTTTATTAAATGAATTTTGTAATAAAATAAATTGATTGATAAAGATGATAAAATAATCACTATTTGAAAAATTTTTATTCATTTCGATTCGATATGGTATTTTTTATATAAAATTTATATCAAATTAATTCAAGTCGATTTTTATAGAAATTGAGGACAAGTCAAAAGTAAATTTATGATACTTTACCCCAAGCCATTCTATGATATATATATATATATATATAAGTAGTATTTTAGGCATGAATTTTATTGTAAAAATGTAATTCAAGCTTTTTTGTAAAAGCTTGAAATTAAAATAGTCCTAACAAAAAAAAATAAAAAAAAATTATAAAATATATTTTGTAAGAATAAGAAGTCAATTTATGGATTGCTACAATATTTGAATTTTGTACTTTTACCTTTTTAACTGAAAATTTAATAAATTTTTAATAAGAAATTAATGAATAAAAATAACAAAATAAAAAAAATTAACTTGCAAGTTTAATTGATTTAATTGTAAAAAAAATTTATGAGCATATATTATCTGTAAATAATAAAAAAAATCTATATGGTAAAATATCAAAGTGACTCAATCTACCATTTAATCGGTCACATTGTGGTGCACATCAACAACGGCTGGCTGCCCCACAAGATGGAACATTTGTTGATAATTTATAGTAGAAAGTTCAAAAGCCAAGGGACAAAACTTTAATAGTTGTAGCACTAGTAATTAACATAGAAGTTTTGGATCACTCTCGTCTCATGTTTCTTGTGAAAATACAATGGAGAGGGAAGATGAAGAGTCTCTGATGGTGTTGGTTTTAATGGGGAGACGAGCAAAGAAAACGGAGTAGGAAGAGAAGAGATTATTGAGGAAGTGAAGAAGCAGCTACGGCTGGCGGGTCCTTTGATATGTGAGAGTTTGTTGCAGTATAGCTTACAAGTAATATCTATTATGTTTGTGGGTCATCTTGGTGCATTAGCTCTTTCTTCGGCTTCACTGGCCACTTCTTTCGCAGCAATACTTGCATTTAAATTGCTGGTAAGAATTGAGACGGGTTTTCCCTCACTTTTATTTCTTTCTTGAATAAACAATTTCACACTTAATTCTAGCTTAGTTAACAAAACAAGCCAGCTTACAGAAACTTGCGGAAACCTGTTTCCATTGGAATCATTCAAAAACACATTTGCAGTGAATTTCTAAGACTTGTTTTCATATAAACCATGATACAGAAAAAAAGTGATTCAAACAGTTAAAAAATGTATTTTGAGTCACATTTTTGGGATAAAAAAGTTTGTAAGTGGTTTATACTTTTGAGAAATAAGTATAAGTGAATTTAATCATTGACTTGGCTTGGTGAGTATTAAAGTGGTGTTATATCATATCTAATAAATATTTAATTTTTTTAGTGCTATATTTAAGTCGAACTTTTCAATTATTGCTAATTGATTTTAGATTGAATGTTTAACGTGATATCAGAATCAGAATTTCTTTTCTGTTATCTCTTTTAAATTTGTCACGTGATAGACTTTTTTAATGTGATAGAAACCTATTAAAGTAATATTATCTCATATTTAATAGATATATAATTTCTTGCAATCTTATATTCAAATTAGGTTCTTCCATTTGTTACTAATTAATTTTAGGTTTGATGCTTAACAATGAAACATAATGGATGTCTTGCTCTTGTTTGGCCTATCAAACAAATTGAACTAAAAGGAAGGAGCAAGAAAATTAACCTTTTTGGTCCTAACAGTTAGCTTAAA